CATCCAACTTCAGGTCAGTTCATGATCTCACAGTTCATGAGTTTGAGTCCTGCATGACAGCACAGAGCCTGGAGCCTGCCTCAGATTCTGTGCCTCCCTCTATCTGTACCCCTCCCCCACTTGCACTATAGCTCTCTCTCTCAAAAAAATAAAAATTTTAAAATTACAATAAAATTAATAAATACATGAGAAAATTTAAAAAAGGGGAAAATAGCTTTGAATGACACACTGGACCAGACAGAGTTAACAGATATATTCCGAACATCTGATCCTAAAGCAGCAGAATACACATTCTTTTTTAGTGCAAATGGAACATTCCATAGCATAAAACACATACTGGGTCACAAGTCAGTCCTCAACAAGTACAAAATGATTATGATCATACCATGCATATTTTCAGATCACAACCTTATAAAACTTGAAATCAATAACAAGAATATTTGGAAAACCTTCAAATACATGGATGTTAAAGAACACCCTACTAAAAATAGTTGATTTAACCTGGAAATTAAATTAAAAAGTTTTAAAAAAACATAGAAGCAAGTTAAAGTGAAAACACGACACTCCAAATCTTTTGGCATATTGCAAAGGCATTCCTAAGAAAAAAGTATATTGCAGTTCATGCTGATTTAAATATACAAGAGAGGTCCCAAACTAAGATTATATCTAAAGGAGCTAGAAAAAAAAAAAAAAAGCAAATAAAGCATAAAATCAAAGAAGGGAAGTAACAAAGATTAGAGCAAAATGCAACATAGAAAAAAAAACAGTAAAACAAATCGATAAAACTAAGACCTAATGCTTTAAAGGAATTTAAAAAAAAAAAATGTTTCCCCTCCAGCAGGATTTATCAAAAAGAAAAGAGGAAGGTCACAAATAGATAATATCATGAGTAAAAGAGGAGCAATCACAACCATCACCCAGACATACAAACAATTATAAGAGAATACTATAAAAAAGTATATGCCGACAGGGGCACCTGGGTGGCTTAGTTGGCTAAGCAGCTGATTTCAGCTCAGGTCATGATTTCACAGTTCATGGTTTTGAGCCCCACAGCAGGCTCTGTGCTGCATTTCAGAGTCTGGAGCCTGCTTTGGATTCTGTATCTCCCTCTCTCTCTGACCCTCCCACACTCACATTCTGTGTGTGTGTGTCTCTCTCTCTCAAAAAATAAATAAACATTAAAAAAAAGTATATGCCAACAAACTGGGCAATCAAGAAAAAATGGACAAAGATCTGGAAAATCATATATTGCGAAAACGGAAACAAGAAGTCATAGAAAACTTGAACAGACCCATATCCAGCAAATAAATTGAAACAGTAATTAAAAAGCTCTCAACAAACAAGAGTCCATGGACAGATGGCTTCCCAGGAGAATTCTAGAGGATATTTAAGAAAGAGTTAAAACCTGTTCTTCTCAAACTGTTTAAAAAATGTAAATAGAAGGGAACACCCAAATTCATTCTACAAAGCCAGCATTCCAAATCGAGACCCCACTAAAAAGGAGAATTACAAGCCAAAATTCCTGATGAACCTGGATGCAAAAATTCTGATAAGATATTAGCAAGTTGAATAAAACAGTGCATTAAAAAGAATTATTCACCATGATCAAGTGGAGTTTATTCCTGGGCTATAGGACTGGTTCAATATTTGCAGATCAGTCATCTTGATATATAACATTGTTAAAAGAAAGGATAAGAGCCACATGATTCTGTCAATAGAAGGGAAAAAATTTGATAAAAATAGCACCCATTCTTGATAAAAAAAAAAAAAACTCTCAACAAAGTAGGAATGGACAGAACATACTTCAATATCATAAAGGCCATATATGAAGGACTCACAGCTAAAGTCATTCTCAATTGGAAAAACTGAGCCTTTATCCTTTAATAAGAAAAAGGTCAAGTGCATTCACTCTCACCATTACTATTTAAGATAGTACTGGAAGACTTAACCTCAGCAATCAGAAAACAAAAAGATAATACTACATGGCAATGAGAAAGAATTAAATCTGGCCATGTGTAGCAACATGGATGGACCTTAAGGGTGTTATGCTGAGCGAAATAAGTCAGGCAGAGAAGGACAAATATCATATGTTTGCACGTATAGGAGGATTAGGAGGAACTTGACGGAGGAACAAGGGGGAGAAGAAGGGGGGAAATGGTAGGGGAGAGGGAGAGAGGCAAACCATGAGAGACTCTTGAATGCTGACAAAAACTGAGGACTGATGGATGTGTGTGGGGGAGGGGGAGATGGGCATGGAGGAGGGCACTTGTGGGGATGAGCACTGGGTGTTATGTGGAAACTAATTTGACAATAAACTATTTGTAAAAAAAAAAAGATAAGGAAAAAAAAGAAATAAAGCCATCCAAATTGACAAGGAAGAAGTCAAATTTCACTATTATCAGATGATATGATACTCTATGTACAAAACTTGAAGACTCCAGAAAAAAAAAAATTGCTAGAACTAATGCATGAACTCAACAAAGGCATGGAATATAAAATCACTGTGCAAAAATCCATTGTGTGTCTGTACACCAATAATGACATAGCAGAAAAAATAAATTAAGGAATCAATCCCATTTGCAATTGCACCAAAAACATTAAGATACCTAGGAATAAACCTAACAAAAGAGGAAAAAGATCTGTAAAACTATAGAACTCTTCTGGGGGAAAAAAAAAAAAAAAAAGGACACAAAGCAATGTAAAAACATTCCATGCTCATTAATTTGAAGAAGAAACACTGCTAAAATGTCTCTACTGGGGCGCCAGAGTGGCTCAGTTGGTTAAGCGTCCAACTTTGGCTCAGGTCATGATCTCATCGTTTGTGGGTTCAAGCTCCGCGTTGGGCTCTGTCCTGAGAGCTAGCTTCAGATTCTGTGTCTCCCTCTCTCTGACCCTACCCTGCTCACACTGTCTCTCTCTCTCAGAAATAAATAAAAACATTTAAAAACAATGTCTCTACTACCCAAAGCAATCTATGCATTTAATGTAATCTCTACCAAAAACCGTCAGCAATTTCTGTGGAGCTAAAAAAACAATTCTAAAATTTATATGCAACCAAAACCTTGAATAGCCAGAGCAATTCTGAAAAAGAAACACAAAACTGGAGGCAACACGATTCCAGACTTCAAACTGTATTACATGCTATACTCATCAAGACAATATGGTACTAGTTCAAAAAAAGACACATAGATCAATAGATCAAAACAGAAAACCCATAATTGGACACACACATATATGGGCAACTAATCTTGAACAACGCAGGAAAGAATATCCGATGGAAATAAGATTAAGGAATCAATTAATTAACAAATGATGTTGGGAAGACTGGAAGACAACATGTGGAAGAATGAACTTGGACAATTTTATTCCATGATACACAAAAGTAAATTCAAACTTGTTGAAAGACATGATGTGAGACAGGGAACCATCACAATCCTAGAGGAGAAAACAGTCAGCAACCTCTTTGACTTTGCCAGAGCAGCATCTTGCTAGACAAGTCACCAGAGGCAAGGGAAATAAAACAAACATGAACTTTTGGGACTTCGTCAAGATAAAATCCTTCTGCACAGTGAAGGGAAAATAATTATTGAAGCTACAAGGTAATCAGGGGCACCTGGGTGGCTCAGTCGGTTAAGTGTCTGAATGCAAAGAAAGGGTAACACTCTTGCACGTTTGGTGGGAATGCAAACTGGTGTAGAAACTCTGGAAAACAGTATGGAGGCTCCTTAAGAAATTAAAAATAGAACTACCGTATGATCCAGCAAATGCAAATGTTTATACACGTATTATCAATAGCCAAACAATGAAGGGAGCACGGACGTCCATCTACTGATGAATGCATAAATAAGATATATATATAATTAGGCACACATAAAAATAATGAGATACTGACATTTGAAATAATGTGTTTGGAGATAGAATGTATTATGCTAAGCGAAATAAGTCAATCAGAGAAAGACAAATACCATGTTGTTTCACTCATATGTGGGATTTGAGAAACAAAACAGATGAATGTATGGGAAGGGAGGTAGACAAGAGAGGGAAGCAAACCACAAGATAATCTTAATGGTAGAGAAATAACAATGGGTTGATGGGTGGAGATTGGTAGGTGATGGACTAGTTGGATGTTGGGAACTAGAGGGGTCTTGTGATTAGCACTGGATGTTTTATGGAAGTGATGAATCACTGAATTCTCCTGAAACAAATATTGGATTGTATACTAATACTTAAATTTTAAAAAGGAAAAAAACCAAAAAACAAAATTAAGCAAAGTTAGTTAATTAAGTAAAATTAAGCAGAGTTGAAAAAGAAGGAAAGCAACACAGGGAAAAATGGGTGTTGGCAGGAATGAGGATAACGGGAAACTCTCTTGCACTGTTTGCGGGAATGCAAATTAGTTCAAGCACTCCAGAACAAAGTACAGAGGTTCCTCAAAAAGCTAAAATTAGAACTACCCTAGCAATTCCACTACTAGGTATTTACCTAGAGAATTCAAAATTACTAATTCAAAAAATACATACCCTGACTTTGATAGCACCAATATAAACAATAGCCAAATTATGGAAACACCAACTGTCCAGTGATTGATAACTAGAGAAATAATGTGTGGTATTCTTTATATATATTGCATGATATACAAAATAAAGTAACAATATACACATTTTAAAAATAGGGGCACCTGAGTGGCTTAGTCGGTTAAGCGTCCGACTTTCGCTTAGGTCATGATCTCGCAGTTCGTGAGTTCAAGCCCCGCGTTGGGGTTTGTACTGACTGCCAGCTCGGAGCCTGGAGCCTGCTTCAGTCTGTGACTCCCTCTCTCTCTGACCCTCCCCTGCTCACACTGTCTCTCTCTCTCCTAGAAATAAATAAAAATACTTTTAAAAAATATTTTAAAAAACCAAAATAAAGTAACAATATACACATTTTAAAAATAAACACGTGGTTCTGCACACATAGGCACATGGGTGGCTGAGTAGGTTAAGTGTCCAAGTCTGGCCATTTTGGCCGGCGGCCGTAGGAACACGCTGTGTGGGAGAGAAGTGAAAGGAAGAACTGACTCAGACTCTGACCTCTCCTCCGCAAGGGAATCGTTTTCTCCAGAAGAGCTGGATATTCTTACTTAGAATTATGGCAGATAAATTAGCGAGAACTGCTATTGTCAATCATGACAAATGTAAACCTAAGAAATGTCGGCAAGAGTGCAAAAAGAGTTGCCCTGTGGTTCGAATGGGAAACTTATACATAGAGGTTACACCCCAGAGCAAAATAGCATGGATTTCTGAAACTCTTTGTATTGGTAGTGGTATTTGTATTAAGAAATGTCCCTTTGGCGCCTTATCAATTGTCAATTTACCAAGTAACTTGGAAAAAGAAACAACACATCGATATTGTGCCAATGCCTTCAAACTTCACAGGTTGCCTATCCCTCATCCAGGTGAAGTTTTAGGATTAGTTGGAACTAATGGAATTGGAAAGTCAACTGCTTTAAAAATTTTAGCAGGAAACAAAAGCCAAACCTTGGAAAGTATGACGATCCACCTGATTGGCAGGAAATTTTGACTTACTTCCGTGGATCTGAATTGGAAAATTACTTTACCAAGATTCTTCTAGAAGATGACCTAAAAGCCATTATCAAACCTCAGTATGTAGACCAGATTCCCAAGGCTGCAAAGGGGACAGTGGGGTCTATTTTAGACCTAAAGGATGAAACAAAGACACAAGCAATTGTATGTCAACAGCTTGATTTAACCCATCTAAAAGACCGAAATGTTGAAGATCTTTCAGGAGGAGAGTTGCAGAGGTTTGCTTGTGCTGTTGTTTGCATACAGAAGGCTGATATTTTCATGTTTGATGAACCTTCTAGTTACCTAGATGTCAAGCAGGATTTAAAGGCTGCTATCACTACACGATCTCTCATAAATCCAGATAGATATATCAATGTGGTGGAGCATGATCTAAGTGTGTTAGACTATCTCTCAGACTTCATCTGCTGTTTATATGGCGTACCAAGTGCTTACGGTGTTGTCAAAATGCCTTTTAGTGTAAGAGAAGGCATAAACATTTTTTTGGATGGCTACGTTCCAAGAGAAAACTTGAGATTCAGAGATGCATCACTTGTTTTTAAAGTGGCTGAGACAGCAAATGAAGAAGTAAAAAAGATGTGTATGTATAAATATCCTGGAATGAAGAAGAAGATGGGAGAGTTTGAGCTAGCAATTGTAGCTGGATAGTTTACAGATTCTGAAATCATGGTAATGTTGGGGGAGAATGGTACTGGTAAGACCACATTTATCAGAATGCTTGCTGGAAGACTTAAGCCTGATGAAGGAGGAGAAGTACCAGTTCTAAATGTCAGTTATAAGCCACAGAAAATCAGTCCCAAATCAACTGGAAGTGTTCGACTAGTGAGGAAATCGAATCAGTGATCAAAAATCTCCCAACAAATAAGAGCCCAGGACCAGATGGCTTCCCCTGGGAATTCTACCCGACGTTTAAAGCAGAATTAATACCCATTCTTCTCAAGCTATTCCAAAAAATAGAAAGTGAAGGAAAACTCCCAGACTCATTTTATGAAGCCAGCATCACTCTGATTCCTAAGCCAGACAGAGAC